TTCCATACTTAGAAAAGCCATCTTATCTGTTACACCAACCGGCTTCTTACTAGGATACGCATCAAGAGGTTTTACATCGTCACGGTCACATACTCGTCCTTCATCAGCGTATGCTTTCGTGATATAATTGACAACCCTCTTATCTTCCGGGCGTGCGTTAGATAGAAACGAAGAATCCTCATGTCTTGCACGCAGACCACTAGTAGCTTCCGTATTATTTCCTGTTTTAGCCCGATAAGCAAATCTTCCGAACCTACTACTAGCTATCTTAGCGCGAGACATAATAAATTCCGTCAAATCATTGAAATTAGGCTCTCTCTCCTCTTCGTCCCACTTGATTCCCAGCTCTGCCCACTGGGCCTGCATTCGACGAGGTAAGAGCCTGACTATTCGTTCTAAAGTAACCATGGAATTAAGTTCCGTTGTGCAATTTAACTGTTCTAAAGTTAAAGCAGCATTCTGCATTTTAATAGCCAAATTCGTCAATTCCTCATGATCATTAAAATCTGCGTTCCCAGTTTTAAATAAGTCTTCTAAGGTTTCCCGGGCTATTACATGCGACTGTCCAAAGAGCTGTTTTAAGATGGCCTTAGCTCTCTTATATCCCGCTTGTGGATCCATTTTAATACAACCTTCAATCGCATTTTTTGCCCTTCCTTTACAATAGTGCATTAAATACAATAAACGCACTTGGTCATCTTTTACTCTTGGTTCTATAAACGTTTCGATTTGACGCATGAATCTAAAATAGTCGCGAGACTTTCCATCAAAAAATGAAAGTTCAACCTTAGGTAGTTCTAAGCCTACTATCGGTGTCCTAAGCATCTGATCGGTCTCTGGTACCTTAGAACTCTCACTTAATCCTGGTTCCTTAATGCCTGCCAAAGGTGACTTACAATAATAAGTATCAGACCTAACATCAGTATTAACATATGGGTTACCCATAAAAAATTCATCATTAACGACTTGTTTAGCGTTCCGGGATCCGTCGAGCTCTTCCACCCTCCTCATGTTTGATTTCTTGCGACTTGACATCATAAATGAAGTTCAATGGAAGAAAAATAACAAATACAAAATATAGTAATTCCACAGATAAGTTCGATAAGATATGTCCAAGATCAAAATTTCTTCATCCAAGATACAATTCGAATACGAAAATACGATAAATAATCCAAAATTCTTCTTTCAAGAAAGTTTAGTGTGATAAACGATTAAATTTCCAAATGTTTCTTTATAATTCTTAATAATCCAACTGTAATTGGTCTTCTAATCAAAAGTAATAGATAATTCCAGAATATAAACGTTCATAGGAATAATTCCAGACTGTAAATGAATTTCTACAGTGGCCGTTCCAATGGGTTCCAATAGGTGCACTCCTGTACTCGATTCTCCCAGTCCCAGGTCCAAACAAATCAAAAAAGGACAAAAATTCTAGGAGAAAGCGTCTTATTTAAATAAAAACATGGAAATACAAAGCATTACCTGGAATTAATGCTCCTTCCAGGATACAATTACTCCGAAGAGTATCAGAAACAGTGATAGATAAGTGACGCTAAGTCCAGCGGCCACTGCATCAAACCAAATATGGCTGTAGCCATATTAAAGATCAAATTTAAACAACATATATACAGATCAGAAGCAAACACAAAAACTTCAATATAAGTACAAAATATAGAAATAATAACAATATAAAATGATAAATCTCAAATTGGAATCAAATAAAATACCAAAAATGTCAACAGAAAAAGTCCGTCATGTCATAACAAAAATATGTAAACATGGAGGGATTTTCCAAAAAACAAAACATTCAAAAAGGTTTCTACAGCCTGTATGTGCTACCTGGTGACACTCGTGTATCATCTTACGCCGCCAGTCTTTCGGTTTACAGCCACCCAATTCTTGTCATCGTCCTGCCAGGTCAGGACTCCATATGCGTTCACTTTCAGTCGTTCCTTTTGCCTAAGTAACATTATTACCTCCTTGTCCGTCGTTCGTTTGTCTACGTCTTCTCCTTCTTTTATCACTCTGATCACCTCTCGAAGGTTCGGGTCAGCTTTCTGTTGCCGGATGAGTTCTAATGGGTCTCCATCTAAACTACTTACCGAGTATGCTGTCACTGGAAGGTCATATTCCATGTCTGATCTTGACAAGTAATCCGCCATTACGTTTTCTTTTCCTGGAACATGGCCGATACTGAAGTCGTATTCTTGCAGACGTATCATCCACCGCGCCAACTTCCTTGCTGTTCTCAACCACTGCAGGGGTTTATGGTCAGTCTCAATGTGAAATCGTCTACCTAAAAGGTACGGTCTCCATTTTTCTACTGCCCACACGATTGCTAGGCACTCCTTTTCGATCGTTGAATACTTCTGCTCGGCAGGTGTGAGAACGCGACCTGCGTATTCCACCACTCCATCAGCCTGACTCAATACCGCACCTATACCATGATCACTTGCATCTGTGGCCACTGTAAACACCGTGGCATTCTGTAGCCGATGTAATGTTTGTACTACTGTTGGCATTGCGCGCGGTTTCAGGTCTGTTATATTATTCAGTTCTCTAAAGTCGACACAAAATCTATACTTTCCATTGGGTTTCTTTACCAAGAGTACCGGTGAGCTATACGGGCTGTCTGCTTCCTCAATTATACCTTCCTTCAACATTTCCTGGACCTGTCGATTTACCTCGGCCTCTAAATGCGCCGGAACACGACGTGTTGCAAACATATTTACTCGGTCGTTCTTTATAGGGATTTCATGCTTTACTTTGTCACAAAATCCATACGGCTCCCCATCTCCAGTGAACAGTTTCACATACTTTGCGCATAACTCGTTAATGTTTGGTTTCTTGGTCGAGACGTCCGTTGTCATCCTTATTTCAGCCACTTCGCTACTTTCGTGTATTTGCAATGAACCGTACTTTGTGACCATTTTACCGCTTCTCAAGTCAATTATCGCTTTTACCTCTCTTAGGAAATCTGCTCCTAATATCGGTCTCGATAAGCTTGTGGTTACCACGAACGGAAAATTTATCTCAGCTCCACTCATTTTTACAATACTGTTGATACCCCCAACACCTCTAGCATATGCCCTCCTATGGTGTGGACAGATAATGTACATGGTTTAATTGTCTTACATTGCTCTTTGCTAATTAACGATATAGCTGCCCCTGTATCGATCAAACACACTAACTCCTGTTCATTTATGTACACTCTGGCATAAATTGCCCCTCTATCTACTAGTGCAAGAACCTCCAGATTCCTAGGGTGGAAAGAAAACACATTATAATGTCTAAAATATCTTCGTCGTCGTCTTCTTGGACAGTTTATCTTCCAATGCACTGCCTCTCCACAAGCGTAACATTTATCGTTCCTTTTATGATTTACTCGTAATGCTGCTATCTCACGCTCTAACTCCTCAATCTTCTTCTCGAAAGTATTTATCACCTGCTTTTCGCACCCGACCGGAGCTACTGTTCGTGTAATCAGCTGACGAGTCACCTTCGCCAGTTCACCGATGTCCATAGGTTGTGCTGCATTTACAAGTCTCAGCTGCTGGGACACGGCGGCAGGCACACTCTCAATAAATTGTAACGCCAACAACTGTGCCTCGGACTCCTCATCGATATACGGCAACGCACGGCGCAGCAACCTGGTGAGATCCACAGCAAGCACCAGCGGGTCACCATCGGTCGACAGCCTCGCCAACCGGAACTTCTGCAACGATTCCTCCCTGTCAACCGGGCTGTCTAACTCGGTCACCAGCCGCTCAAAGACCTTCTATCATGGCGTCTTCCCGCCAGCACCGTCCAAGCTGTCATATACGGCTTTCGCCCTTCCTCTCAGCAGCGTCCCCAGCACCACAAAATTCGCGCTCGGTTCCTTCACCCCACCAGCTCCGCCACGGCCTTAAACTCTTTCAGGAAGCTGCGCACAACTCCGTCCTCAAACTCCCTCGGCCATAGAATCTTCATCCTTTGCGTAGGCAGCGACACCAAATGTAGTGAAGGAGAACACAGAGTGGGGCAACCAAATTGTATTCAACGAAAATTACAGAGTTACTCAGTAAAATCGGAAAACCATATCGTAAATCGTTAATTTGCAAAAGATCAGTTCATCCTATGGAACTGGACTGTTCCTGTTGCCAAACATCAATCCATTGTCGCTATTCATGCGTTTCATACAAATTCCATTGTGTTCTAAATCTTCCTTTCTTGATCTTCCCCCATCTTCGGCTGCTAGATATTACGTTGACGCTCACGTCATATACCACTTATGAATAGCTCGCACCACATTGGTTTTATCACCCTACAATTATTCTTAACGTTGTTTAAGACATATGAACGCCCACACCTTGAGGTTCACAACGTTGTCGCAACCACTCTCTTTGAAACAAACATAAATCTCTTGGATCGAGTGCAGAGACGAACAACGAAACGGGTGAGAGAGTTGAAGTATAAACCTTACCAAGATAGACTCCAGCACTTAGTATTATTCCCATTGAGTCACAGGAGGATTAGAGGTGATGCAGTTATGGTGTACAACACATCAAGCACGCCAAACCGTCTCGACGTGAGCATATTACCGGTGCATCACAACCACTCCCCTCGAGGCAATCCTCAGAAAACAGCGCATAAAACAACGAATGCTCAGATTCGTGCACACTTCTTCTTACTAGCATTCGTTGCAACTTGGATGGCTCTTCGAGCCGAGGTGACCACAGAGACCTCAGTGGACAGCTGTAAGAAGAGACTTGACAGTCACGTACTCACAAGGATTGGCATCTCCATCTAGAACAAGCTGATGCATCTTTTGTGACCTGCTAATGGCTATTATTGCCATCTCCTCAGATCACTAGCTTAATCTATCTTGCCTATTATCTCTATTTGCTCCCTCCTGCTTACACTTAGTCCTATCTCATAATCGTCTCTACCAATCAATAAACTAAAATATCTATACATTACTCAGTTCTGAAATCCTCTTATTGACATTAGAATATTCTACTCATTATTCTTCACATTGCCACTAACTGATCCACGGTATGGTAATGTGATAGCTACTGCTGCCCAGAAACCGTACTGCCCTGAAACAGACGTGCTCATTCAAATCACGGAACATACAAACAAACAAATGCCAATCGACTAGAATTAGGCGGTCGAGTGGCTGGACCCACATCCATTGAATACTGCCACACACCTGGCACCGTAACGAAAGAATAAGAATCGAGCGCAAAGAAATCAATTGGCTCATACTAGCTCGTGAAAAAGATATTGGAAATATTGGCGGCGTAACTAGCTCGAAACTGTACGCTACCAACTTCTTTTTCAGACTATCAGCTAGTTGTTATCTCTTGCTAGCGTTAACTGTGTTTGCTGTCGATTACTTTCCTGATCTAAAGTAAGCGCATTACATAAGCTTACTTCGTCGTCGTCTCATCTTTTTCCTTGTTTTTTTTCCCTTCCAGAAAACTACACTCCCTCATTATGGGCGAGAATATATGCGGTGCTTAAATATATTTACATGTTTCATACGTTTTTATTTGACAGGAACATGCGATCCGACATATTTTAGGCATCCTAGATTGGAAGAATAGCTGGAACATCACGGACCAATGTATCTGATGTATTTACCAGTTCCCAAGTGACTGAATGTCATATGTCTTGAAATAGTTGTTACAAGTTTTTCGAAAACCATGGTCAAGTTGGTCGTCAAATCTTATACATTCCTCTAAACATATCGGTTAAAATAGTCTAGTTTAGGAGTGCGTGTGATGACCTGACTACTACTAGCTTATTGCTTGGAGCTGTTATTGTTCTAACCTTGCGCCAAATAGGACTACAGACTTCATTAGTTGGGAATCTGGAATCCTGTGCGATCGATGTATGTTGAGTCTGCGAAACGCGCATACAATGTCCGAGAAAAACCAGTTTTTTATCTATTGCAGAAACAGCATGGCTTACGCTTCGTGTTTGAGTTACTCCTGATGCTGCTTCCCGGGGTCTCGCTGCCGTAGGTGTAGCATTGAGTCCTAGAGCAGAACTAGCTCTCTTAGACTGTGTCCTAGTAGATAGTCGCTTATGAGCTCTCCGACTAAACAGGACAGTAAGGCCTTGGAAAGTTAGGGACACTTGCCGTTGCCTCTTCGTTGTCTCTGCCTACGCTCCCACTGAGTGCAGTTCAGCCGAGGTAAAAGATGAGTTTTACAGAAAGATCTCGGACCTCTTCCTAAAGGTCATGCGCTCTCATACAGTAATAGTAGCGGGTGATTTCAATGCTCAAGTAGGTAGACTATGTGAAAATGAAAGATACCTAGGCGGATCTTGTGGTGTCGCGGCTCGAAGATCAGATGATGGCGATAGCCTATTTTTTAGCAAATACTTACTTTAAGCACAAGGATCAACATCTCTTGACATGGTGACCCCCGAAGCTGACCCAATGATGGACCTGACTAAACCACATTGCTATCAGCCATCGATGGAAAACTGTCGCTCATTCTTGAGAATATGTTTAGATTCAGGTCATGCTCTAGTGAGGGCACGCATTTGTTTGCGGCTTACTGGACGTAGCAAAGACTCTGCAAGGAAACCTCTTAGGGTTCTACTTAATGATAACAAAGCTAAGAATTTGTTTCAGGAACAACTAGAAAAACAGTTAGACAGCCATGTAGTAAGTGATGCCCACCCTAGAGCAGCTTGGAACGATATCCAAAAAGCTGTGGAGTCAATAGTGATATCTGCTAGTAAAGTAAACCATAAGGTTAGCGAGAAACAATGGATCTCGATAGCATCTGCCGAACTGATAGATGCTCGGAAACTGATCCTGCCTGACTCTGAATATGATGAAGAGCGGAGTCAGCTTAAGCACAAGCTGAGGAGAAGCCTACTTAATGATCGTGAGAAGTGGTGGGTAGCGAAAGCAAGAGTGATGGAAAAGACAGCGGCGATAGGCAACAGTGGACAACTGTTCCGCCTTTCAAAGGAAACCGGTATTAGAAATCCATTTATCTCAGAAAAGAATGGTCGGAGCATTCATTCTCGACTTAGGAGAATCGCTCGATGGGCAGAAAATTTCAGCGATCAGTTCAACTGGCCTTCAGCCACGATCTCCAGTCAACCTGAATGACAGCTGGATGTAAGTACTCCAACCCTTAATGAAGTTGAGAAAGCTATAGGAGATCTGAAGCAAGGGAGAGCAGTGGGTCCTGAAAGATTGGCCAGTGAGATTTTTAAGGTTGGTGGCCCAGTTTTAGCAGTAAGATCGACTGAAATTTTAGGCAAAATCTGGGAACTGGACATAACCCCATCCAACTGGTCTCAATCACTGATTGTCCCAGTCTATTCGAAAGGACAGAAGTCCTCTTGTGACAATCACAGGGAATCAGTCCAACTAATGTAGTGTCTAAAATAAAGGCCTCGATAATATTCCGACACCTAACTAGAGCTCGTAAAATGCAGACCGTAGAAAAGGAGGCTGGTTTCCGAACTGGACGTGGATGTACAGATCAGATTTCACATTACGACAGGTCCTGGCACACAGACACACATTTAGGCGTCCTACAATAGTTGTCTTGCTGGACCTAAAGGCAACATTTGACTCTGTGGATCATAAGGTTCTGTGGCAGTGTCTGTCATTGAAAGGTGTAACGGAGAAGTACATTAGCCGTAAACAAACTTTCTACTCGAACACCACTGGTCGAGTGATAGCGGGTGAAGTAGTTGGACGTGTCGACAGCTTCACTAATCATGGGAGTCTTATCAGTGCTGATGACCTGGTGACTGACGTAATTTCAGCACGGATACAGAAGGTTCGATTGGCTTTTGCCAACATGCGTCACTTTTGATGAAGTCGAGTTATCCATTTGCTGACCAAAGGACGAGTGTACTGCTCAGTAGTTCGCTTCGTCCTACTATATGGCTGTGAAACATGGCCAGTCAGAGTAATGTTCGTAGGTTACTGGTTTCCAAGCATAATTATCTTCGAAGCATTACTCGTGTATTATGGTACAACCTAGTAAGCAATGCTGTTCTTAGGAAACGGGTCCTAGGTAAAGATGTTAGGTCAGTAGATGAAGTATTGAAACTGCACCATTTGAGGTGGTTGGGACTTGTGTTACGTATGCCTAACCACCGATTGCCTCATCGAACTGTTTTGCGATGTAGGAATAGGTTGAAAAGAAGCTAGGGGCGGCCAAACCAGAACATGGCAGAAATCCATGAAGTCACTGACAAGTGAACTGAGTCATGTTGGTAGATGTTGGCTATCTGGTTGGGGTCCTCGAGACGATATTAACCGACGGTTAGAGACTGAATGACATGGCTCAGAATCTTCCTCAATTGCACAGGTGCATTCATCCATTGTGTTCTCTCAAATCCTAACCCACATAGTTCCTCTTCACTTTTATCTTATTCGTTTTAAGTTTATTTCAATAGATTATACTTCTGGAATAATATCGTTGAACCCTAATCTCTCTGATTACTGCTAATACATTCACTACCTTTACTACCATGCTATTTAAATCGATAATCACATCTCTGTGCTTATATAGTATGGCATCTTGAACTGATGTACGCGCGTACGAAGTTCTATGTTGCTGTTGATTGGTTTAGATGGTAGTGCACGGTAGGTACGGATGCTGTCTCGCTTTACTGGGTCGCTGATAATTCTTATTTGTCAATTAGCCTCAGTATACGTTTCCTAAACATTTGGTCCGAAAAGATTTTGTCCATGTATTTTTAATTCTGTTTTTCGGTTTTTAGATTGCCTCTTTTCACTAGTCCCTGGAACTTCCACGGTTATCAACCGAATCGACGAGTACTTTTTGGCTTACATCAGTATATTCAACAAATAAATGTTAAATGGACAAACTTTCGGAATCAGTAAGCGTTTTATTAAATCTATACTTAATAAAAATCTTGATTTAAGGCTCTCAAATTGTATTAGTCTGTTAGCTATTATGGGATTGGAACCCGTCACAAATATGCACCGATCCAAGTTAGCGCAGCAAGTGGCAATGTGCAAGATAAGAAACAATGAAAAGCAGTGTCGTAAGCAATAGAAATCTAAATATTTCTACTCTATAAGTGACTCAGTTTAAATAAACCAAACCAGCTTCGAGATTTCTTGCTGCAATTTTGTTAAATACCAACCTTTCACTAATAATAAGACTTTCAAGATAATTGAAGTGGTCGACGTACTCATCTACTTCATTCCCTATCATTGCTTTAGGTGGATGTAAACTAGTTCTGAAGTAGTATTTAGTATTTAAAGGGAGGTAAATACATCCAAAGCATGTTTGTTATACTACTAAAGGCCATCCACTGGTTCCATATTTTGTCAGCGTACTACTTGGGAATGATTGAGTTTCTAAGACTAAGGCTGATTCCTCAAAAGTTAGGAAACGTTAATTTTAAAACAATGTCCGAAAAAATTATGTAAAAGTGAAGTGGGCAGTCCTGACAAAATCTGTTTGATGATTATGATTCATAGAATGATCCATAAATCGGTGTATTAACATTCAAGTGCTGGTGTTACACGTTTGTATGTAGAAACAAAGTCTTAATGATTGGGCCAGTTCTAAATCAAGAATTATCACCGGTTCATCAGGTCACTGACTGTTAGTCTGATCCGTGTCAGTGGATGCAGACTATCTTATTGAGATCCACACAATCAGTAAGTGACATGTTTCAGAATCAGTCACAATAGAAAAAATGTACCGACTTTTTATCTTCTTCTAGATTTTGATTCAGCATTCATTCATACCTTTTCATTGTGTTTCCTCCAACCATATTTCTCGACGTTCATTGTTTCTTACCACTATAGGTACTACAACTGTTTGTATTCCTTTACTATTTATCTCTTCAACTTCATTTCATGTTAATTAGGTGTAGAATTCGGGCTAACACTGGTTTTTGTCAGGCTCTACTGTGGTTATGACCAACTTAGGTAATCCAGTTTCAATCACTCGATCGCACGTTCTAACCGTGCTCTGTTTACTTCTATTTGGACAACCTGCCCGACCGTAGCTGCTACCTTGACGTGGTGGTCGGGCTAGCCTATCGTGATGACCCAACCGAGCTATACTGGCTGCCACATGTTCCTGCAGGTCCTACCATGCCAGGCAGGTCGATTGGAGAACGATGAGACTAAAAGCAGCTACCCAAGGTCTGAGAACGAAGTCATACTGCTGACTGCAGAGGGGTGTGACAGCAGTAAGGTGTTTCCCTCGGACAACCAGCATCTGCAGCGATGCTGCCTTCTCACAAGGAAGGAACGGTTAGAAAAGGTCGACCCTAAAAATGTCACACCTCACCTTACCTCACAGATTTCCGTCTCCTCGGGTAAGGGTGTACACTAAGGGCCTTCAAGAGCGGAGCTAATACTCAAAAAACCTTTCATAAAAAGGCCGTGCGTGACCGGTCTCAAGCGGTTGTCCCTTGGTCTCTGCGGTTACGCTCTCAGGTCTCTAAGACCAACACTAATCTATTTTCCTTTTCAGGTTCCTCAAGAAACAATCTTCCACGGTGTGGGCAGCCGGGAAGTGACAACCGCCCTCATACTTGCAACAGCACGCGAGACCAAATTGTTCAAAATCAAATCCTTCCTACACCCCCTAATACCTCTCTTATCTCCACGACTAACTCTTCTCACATTCATTTATCACAGTGCACAGCTAATGCAGACGATACGAGTTCGCGAAACGTCATTTCTGGTCTCCTGGAACCCCGCTCTAGACTACATGTTGGAGCATTGAATGTACGGACATTGTGTCAAATAGGGCAACAGGCATCATTAGCTAGGACTTTAGAATCTCGTGCCATCGATGTGTGCTGCGTCTCGGAAATGCGCATACAGGATCCTAGTAAAATTATTAATCTGATTTCACCTTATCAAAATAAAGAAGCAGCTCGATTTACTCTTCGTGTATCCGGTAGCCCTGATGGTGCTTCCCGGGGTCTTGCTGGCGTAGGCATAACATTGAGTCGTAGAGCTAAACAATCTCTCCTTGACTGGATCCCAGTAGATAGTCGCTTGTGCGCTGTCCGACTAAATGGGACAGTAAGGAATCGGAAAAATAGGGACAATCGCCGTTGCCTCTTCATCGTATCTGCCTATGCCCCCACTGAGTGCAGTTCAGACGATGTAAAAGATGAGTTTTACAGAAAGCTTTCGGAGCTCCTTGAACAAGTTAGTCTCTCTGAAATAGTAATAATGGCTGGTGACTTTAATTCTCAAGTAGGTAGACTATGTGAAAATGAAAGACACCTAGGTGGATGTTATGGTGTCGCAGCTCAGAGAACAGACAACGGCGACCGTCTGTTGCAAGTATGCTCAGACAACCGCCTATTCTTAGCAAACACTAACTTTAAGCATAAGGAAAAGCATCTGTTGACCTGGCGACCTCCAAAGTCGTCTCAACGTTGGACTCAACTAGATCACATCGCCATCAGCCACCGATGGAGGGGTTCGATAGACCAAAAACATGGCAGAAATCCATGAAGTCATCGACGAGTGGACTTAGCCATGTCAGTAATTGTCGACTACCTAGTTGGGGTCCGCGAGATGATAATAATCGATGGTTGGAGACCTTGAATGACATGGCTCAAAATCGTTCGCAATGGCGCCGGTGCATTTATGCTTTGTGTTCTCTCAAATCTTAATCTTCTGGGTTCTTCAACACCTCTAGTTTTGACTTTCTAAACTTTTTTCATTAAATCATACTTCTTGAATAATATCTTCTCATCCTAACCTCTCCGATAACTTCTAATACCTTTACTACCTCTTCTACTATTGGATTTGAATTGACAATTACATCTCTGTGCGGATGTGGTATGGTGACATGAACTGATGTACTTACGTACGAAGTTCTACGTTGCATCTGACTGACTGATTTGGACAACCTGAACCTCTGTCAGTGTAACTGAAAGCCAAATATATAATATTTCTGTGCACCCTTTTCTAATTTAATATACTGCTTCTTAATGTGAATTATGTATCTGTAAAGCTGTTACTAGTGTCAGTCAGTTAGCTACAACGTATAATTTCGTACGTACGTACATCAGTTCAGACTGCCATACCACAGCACAGAGACGCTAGTGTTTATATTGTTTGCTTAGTTTTAACTCCAAATACTAATTTGATGTAAGGATTAGCATAGTATCGTATTCATTTCCATTTGGTGTTAATGTAACGTGTTGAACGCGTTGTACAACCAGAGTAATAAAAGTCAATTTCAAAAAGATAATTATCAAAAATTAGATCTTTCATAATAATATTAATTTACAGTATTTACTCTCAAACTTGTTTAACATGACTAGACATAAAATTTCATTCTTTTCTCAGAAAATGTACAGGTGCCAAGGCATTATTCCTCGCAGCGTTGTTATGATTCAGTTCGAAAATGATCTAGGCAATTGAATAAATTAGATTTTTGTAATCCACTGATTATTCGGAATTCACAGTTACTGTACACATGCTTATGCTACTTTTGACTTAGTCTCGTAGCTTTTTCTAAACCATATTTGCTTAAGTTTCACTAATTTGTGCTACTCCTTTAACTCAAACCTTACACAGCTGTGCGCATGCTTCCCGTCTAATCATTAGTTTTACGGATCATAACTGCATCATATTTGTTATTTTTATTTGTACATATGACACCTGGTTTTAAACCAAAATTTATCAATATTCCCAGTAATCCACTGTTATGCGTAAACTATAAATTCAGCGTTTTAAAACGGATCATATATACAAATTGTGACGATCACATTTCAGTTCAATAAACAGCGTCGCTTAATCCTCATTGTTTTTATGGGAAGTTATCTCCTAAACTCTGACACCTAAGAGAATATTTATTCGAATTTCTAAAATAATACCAATTTTCGCCATCCACTTGATGCATGCCACTTTCAAGTTACTTTTCCTCGCATCTTATGTAATTGAGTTCCTACGTGACCAGTGGAGTTCAACCCTGTCGGGTGTAGGCAGTAACTACCGAAGACAATGTGTGAGGTTGCGCAAAACCCTTAAAATGATCGGAGTTAGACATTAACACCCTTGGATGCCAGTTTGACGGTCCACAAGTCAAGTGTTCGCGCTCAAGGCCGAAGGTCCTGGACTTGAATCCTGTGAGTAGCAGGTGGCGTAGATGCGCACTGCTGATGAGTTTCATTCCAGGATGAAATGGCCGTCCGGTGCTTCTAGGTTTCTAGTGGTGGTCTAACAGTGATTCATTCATGAGTTCACAGTCAAATAATCATCGTTTTAAATGTTTATTAAATATATAACAACATAAAGGTACTGTCTGACGAGCTTGGTAGAGATGTATTTCTAGCAACATCACCCACACAGATCCTCATCCTTTATCCATATTTTGAGTACATCCTTTCACAATATTATTTTACTTCCATTGTTTTTCGACATTAAACGAAGCCCATACATTTTACAGATGTTTAAAACAATATTTATCTTAAGATCCTTAAATCCTATTCGTTTATAATTGTTCCCAATCCCTCTTTTATCTCTGTTGTAATAGGATATTGCTCAATGCTCTCATTGCTACTGTTTGATGTAAATTGTAAAGTAGCGCTTGATTACTGTAATGAATTTCGTTCTCGATACCTGGCACATTCAGTCATTGTTCTGTTCCCATTAGAAATGTGCTAGGAACCATAATAATAAATTTTAGCCGCAGTTCCAAATGAGTAATACTGTGTGAACGTACTTGAATCACTTAGGATAATTTATTCATAATTTTGAAATTTGTGAAGATAGATATACTACAAGTAAAGCTGAACGGTTATAATACACTTGTGTTTTTATTATAGTCAGTAGACTGATTACTTACGATAAATCACTAGCTTGAAGTTGCACTATCAATAAGAAAGCTAAGTAACACAATGATATTTTACTATTTATCTCTAGATCACAAATTGTATTGTCAGTATATGGTTGAGAAGATTGTCGAATATCTTGAAATCATGGATCGATCAATGTTGGACCACCCTTGTAAGGACTAGATGACCGCATCGTCCCTGTATGGAGCCCGTCAGCAGTACGCATCCACGGCAACGCAAGCGGGAATCGAAACTTGAACGTCCAGTCTTGCGCGCGAATACAACCTTTTGGGTCGTAGGAGTTCATTGCTGATGAGTCCCATACTAACACAAGACGGTTGTCCAGTGCCTCTATGTTTCCCATTGTGGTACAACATTGATCAGTTCATGATTTTACGGAAAATCAGAGACTGTTAGTTCCCTGAACTAATTTCACTTGTTATTTCGTCTGTCATGTAAAGTACGTTGGTACTTTCAAGTAAAAAGCATTTTGTTTTAGTTATTTGTAGCTGAATCTAGTCGTTCATGTAAATCTTTTTCTTCTTTAAAGTTTTCTTTTTAAAAATTTTTGTTTCTTAGGTTCAGCGTGATATCAACAAATTACAAACCAACTATCACAAAGCTGTTGAAAAAGAATTGGGTAACTTAGATATTGCTTATCTTCGCAAAATACAGGTTAGCAATAAGTTGCTTACCAATAACATAATATAGGCAAATTACTTTCAGTGCAGTTTAAAATGCTGTGAAAATCCTGATGCCTCTATAACTGAAGTACAGCATTGTGTAGAAAGGTGCGAAATCCCGTTAAAACAAGCACATGAACTAATGCAATCAGAAGTCTCCTCGTTTCAGGTAAGAAGTTTTGATTTTGAAAACGACTAGTTCAGTTTTACTTATTGTATATTTAAAAAATCTGTAGGTAAAGTGCTTAGAAGCCAGTTTTCCATTACAAGTGTATGTTGAGATGATCACCTAAAAAAGGATTACATTTTGAACTCATTTTTCTGGTCAGCATTTTTCTAGCGAGTTATTTTTCTACTGGATGGGGTCGCTACCCCACGCCCAACCCTCCTTTATACGGACTTGAGACCGGTGGTAGCCCCAGAGGGGCTCTAGGCAGAGCCGAAAAACGATTATAGTGTAAGTAAAAGGCAGTAGTTATCGAGCACGTACAGGGTGTATAAACCTGAAAAACAGCTGTACGACTAGTAATAAATAAATAATACACTACAATCTAAAGAAAACAGATTTATCAGAAGCAATTGTGTCTGATCAGTTAAACTGTTACCAACTCATTTTTTCATGACTAATATATATTAATTTTTAATTAGAAATCTAAGTAAACACCTCAAAATTCTGAGTTCAGTGATATGATCTTAAACTGACTCGATAAGGAAATTCCAACCGGTTTTATGCAGTACGAAAAGGCCCTACTGAAAGCTTAAAATCACTAAAAATAACGTCGGTCACTTAAGATTTGTGTAGACACATACGACCTTAAGTTGCTATCACTATGCACTCACGGGGATCACCAAAGGTTAATAAGCGTAAGACAAAGGATCTAAACATATTGGATCTTCTGCACAGCCGAATCATCCAATGGCTGGTTGAAATATTCCAATTGGTTAAGAATTACTAGAGTATATTGATTATAATGCACTAGTTTGTTACAAGGATAAAAGATAACGATACGTCTGTTTTCACTCGAAGTTTTCTCTCCGTTTAAATGCAACCATTATACTTGTGATCAAGTCAGTTCCCATAAGATAGAAATGACTGTTAAACATTTGCCCAAAGCCAATTTTGTTGTGTTCTTAAATTTCGAATATAAATCTGAAAATAATTTATCAAGTATCAAATCGTAAGGTGATCTCTTTTGTGTCCGTATTTTGCAGGTTTATCAACTCTAAGTCTTTTAGTTAATTTAGGTACTATAAAAAACTAGAGTTGGTCAGAACTATGTGCTATATCAACGCAGTGTATCTCAAGTAGTTTGATCTCTTACTATCCAGTTAGGATATTTGCGTAAGAAGTCCCGACCGAAGCTGCTACCTGGACGTGGTAATTGGGCTTGCCTATCGTGATGAACTAACCGAGCTATATTGGCTGGAACATATGTTCCTGAAGATTCTACCATGCCAGGCAGGTCGATTGGAGAACGATGAGACTAAGAGCAGCTACTCAAGGTCTGAGGGCGAAGTAGTACTGCTGACTGCATTTCGTTCTGTGGAAGTGTCTGTCATTGAAAGGTGTACCAAAGAAGTACATTAACCTTATACAAGCTCTCTACTCGAACACCACTGGTCGAGTGAGAGCTTATGGCGAACTGTCAACGGAATCCTTTACTTCAAGTGGTGTCCGTCAGAGATGTCCACTTTCTCCATTCTTGTTTAATTTTATCATAGACATGCTCCTAGAAATAACCTTATCCCCGTCTGAATTTTCGGGAGTAGACCTTTTACCAGGTGGCTCGCTTATTGACTTAGAATATGCCGATGACATAGTCCTACTTGGTGAAGACGCTGACAAAATGCAGAGTCTTCTGACTACCCTAAGCAACAATGCAAGCATGTTCGGGATGCGGTTTTCCCCCTCCAAATGCAAAATGTTGCTTGAAGATTGGGTTTCATCGGCACCTGAACTAGTGATAGGGAGTGAAGTAGTCGAGCGGGTTAATCGCTTCACTTATCTGAGGAGTCTCATCAGGGCTGATGGCCTGGTGACTGACCAAATCTCAGCACGGATACAGAAGGTTCGATTGGCTTTTGCCAACATGCGTCACTTATGGCGTAGGCGAGATATCCGTTTACTGACTAAAGGACGAGTGTACTGTGCAGTGGTTCGCTCCGTCTTACTTTATGGCTGTGAAACATGGCCAGTGAGAGTAGAAGATACTCGTCGGTTATTGGTGTCTTAGAAGCATTGCTCGTATATCCTGGGACAACCGAGTGAGCACCGCTGTTATTAGGAATCGGGTGCTAGGTAAGAATGGCAGATCAATCGATGAAGTATTGAAACTTCACCAGTTGAGGTGGTTGGGACATGTGTTGCGTATGCTGAACCACCGACTGCCTCGTCGAGCTTTGTTTTGTAGTGTAGGAATAGGTTGGAAGAAAGTTAGGGGCGGCCAAACCAAAACATGGCAGAAATCCATGAAGTCATTGACGAAGGGACATAGCCATGTCAGTAATTGTCGACTACCTGGTTGGGGTCCGGCTTTGTGTTCTCTCAAATCTTAATCTTCTGAGTTCTTCACTCTCTAGTTTTGACTTTCTAAACTTTTCCCATTGAATCATACTTCTTGAATAATATCTTCTAATCCTAACCTCTCCGATAACTTCTAATACCTTTACTACCTCTTCTACTATTGGATTTGAATTGACAATTACATCTCTGTGCGGATGTGGTATGGTGACATGAACTGATGTACTTACGTACGAAGTTCTACGTTGCAACTGACTGACTGACTGACTGCAGAGGGGTGTGACAGCAGTAAGGTGTTTCCCTCGGACAACCAGCATCTGCAGCGATGCTGCCTTCTCACAAGAAAGGAAGGGTTAGAAAAGGCCGACCCTAAAAATGTCACACCTCACCTAACCTCACGGATTTCCGTCTCCGGCCGTAAGGGCTGCTCAATAAGGTTTTCTAAACAGAGAGGAGCTCATACTCTAAAAACCTTTCATAAAAAGGCCATGCGTGACCGGCCTGAAGCAGTCATCCCTTGAGCTCTGCGGTTACGCTCTCAGGTTTCTAAGACCGACACTAATCTACCTTCCTTTTCAGGTTCCTCTAGAAACAACCTTTCATGGTGTGGGCAACCGGGAAGTGACAACCGCCCTCATACCCGTAACAGCAGTAGAGACCAAATCGGTCATAATCCAATCCTTCCTACATCCCCTAATATCTCTCTTATCTCAAAGATTAACTTTCCTTTATCACGCTGCACCGCTAATACAAACGATGCGAGTTCACGAAAATTTATTCCTGGTCTCTTGTGAGCCCGTTCTAGATTACATGTTGAATCGTTCGATGGGCAGAAAATTTTAGCGATCAGTTCAACTGGCCTTCAGCCACGATCTCCAGTCAACCTGAATGTTCAACTTTATCATTGACTTGCTTTTAGAGATAACACTATCTTCGTCTAACTTCTCACAGGTGGATCTTCTACTAGGAGACTCGCTTATTGACTTAGAATATGCCGATGACATAGTTCTATTTGGTGAAGACACTGACAAAACGCCTAGTTTTCTGACTACTGTAGGCAACAATGCCAGCATGTTTGGGATGCGACTCCCTCCCTCGAAATGCAAAGTGTTGCTTCTGGGTTGGCTTGCGACGGCACTTGAACTAGTGATAGGGAGTGAAGTAGTCGAACGTGTAGCCCGCTTCACTTATCTGGGAAGTCTCATCAGTGCTGATGGCCCGGTGACTGACGTAATTTCAGCACGGATACAGAAGGTTCGATTGGCTTTTGCCAACATGCGTCACTTATGGCGTAGGCTAGATATCCGTTTGCTAACCAAAGGACGAGTGTACCGTGCAGCAGTCAGCTCCGTTCTACTATACGGATGAGATACATGGCCGTTAAGTGTAGAGGACTTTCGTAGGTTACTAGTCTTCGATCATCGGTGTCTCCAAAGCATCGCTCGTGTATCCTGAGGCAACCTAGTAAGGAATGCTGTCGTTAGGAAACGAGTTCTAGGTAGGGATGGCTAATCAATAGATGAAGCATTGAAACTTCATCAGTTGAGGCGTTTGGGACATGTGTTACGTATGCCTAACCACCGTCTGCCTCGACGAGCTATGTTTTGCAGTGTAGGAGTAGGTTGGAAGAAAGTTAGGGCGGCCAAACCAGAACATGGCACAAATGCATGAAGTCACTGACAGGTGAACTGTTCCATGTTGGTAGATGTTGGCTATCTGGTTGAGGTCCGCGAGACAAACGTCACCAATCTTCATAGAACTTGAACGACATGGTTTAAAATCGTTTGCAATGGCGCAGGTGCATCCACTCTTTGTGTCCTCTCAAATTCTAACCTTTCGAATTCCTCATATCTCTATCTTTCGCTTTCTAACTTTATCTCACTGAATTGTACTTCTCGAATCATATCTTCGAACCCTAATTTTCTTCATTACTGCTTATACTTCTACTACCGCTACCACTATGGAATATGAATTGACAGTTGCGTCTCTGTTCTGATGTGATGTGGCAACTTGAACTGATGTGCTTACGTACGAAGTTCTGCATTGTATCTGTCTGTCTTTGCATAAGAATTAGAAATTAAATTCGAACATTAGATAGGCAATATGACCTACATAATTTGGATATTAAGACTAAATCAATGTCACGATGCTAGGTTTACCATAAGGATACATCCTTCCTAAAGACATAAGGATTTTCATTTTTGTATGATTAAGGTTTCACCAATCCTATATATTTGCCCTGGACTACTCATAACAAATAATAAAGTATAGGTTTCGATTAATCTATGTAGTCGGATTGTCTAAAATCAATTGCTAAAATATGTTACATAATCATGATACACTTCGTCTCTTAGGATTATCCAGACTTACTGATATCCAAGCGCTAAAAAGTTCATACAAACTTCCAATTTATACTAGATAAAATGACCAGTGTCTAAGAATCATCTGTCTCAAAACTGATCAGAAAAACGTAATCTTTACATGTGTTTTGACAACCCCCAGCAAGCTATAAACTTTTCGTTATGGTTGAGGGATAGGTTTATTTATTTGGTCCCTTTGTGTATCTATCTTTGCTCGAACGGTGACGTACACTAACTGATATCAGCACACTTTCAGCTAGTATACAGCTCATCTTGGTTTTAAAAAAGCAAAAGCGAAGTGGTTGAAAACTTTATTATTGATTGTGATTAAGTTCGACCATACAACTAACTCACATATTGACGCAAGTCCTTTTAAACCTTCAGTTGCAACTTCTAAGGCTTTAATTGTTCATAACACGCAGCTTGACGCCGATGTGCGAGAGATGTTTGTCTTTATAGTAGATCCTATTTTTTACAAAACGTCCCTTTTTCTTGAACAGCTTTTTCTTTCTGAGTCCTTTAACGTGTCATTTTCTCAAATATCTCTGACTTTCAGTGTTGACAAAACAATAAGACTGGTTATTATTGATGTTTTTATGTACGCGGATTACATTCACGTAGTGTATTAAAACATTTTATAATTCAGATGCTAGATTTATTTGGTAATCTAAAGTAGATAACCTGATTCACAGTTTGAATAATACTTTATTACTTAGTCAAGATTACAACTGTGCGCTTCTGAGTGCGCCAATCAAGCGCGGGACAAATTACCTTCAAATGCAACTGAGTCACAGCTAAAGAATGCTCAACGTGAAATACTGGCGTGTTCTCAAAAGTGCGTGGACAATCAACTATCGACAGTACTTCCAGCTCTTATTACTCGACTAAAAGAACAGTTACAAAAGCTGAAACAAAATCAAATTGGAATCGTAAATTAATTTGTGTAATATACGTAGTGAAACTACAGTCTTTTTAGAAAATTGATTGTATAGACTATCTCTTTATTTTTAATGTTACTTACAAAATAGGTGCTCATAGATCTATTGCCTCGGAGGAAGTATAGTTCTGGAATAAACGAACGGTCTCTAAACTTGAGACGGCTGTGAATACAGCAACCCCGATCTCCTTGAGCCTGCGAGCGACTAGCATCGAGGTCTACAATCGTACGTGACGTTAAGGCGACTATGTAGTTGTCTCGCGTGCTAGTTCACTCTACAATTTTTTCTGCTATGAAGGCAACCTTGTTAAGTGGAGTTTCCTTGAACAGAGCTGTGACCGTAAGCTGAATGTGTGGTGACAGGTATTCGAGCCAAAGTTCTTTAACTGTTTCGAAGTCGGCTGTCATAGGTCCTGCCGAAGAATGCAAACGGATATCTAACCTGAACCATAGGTGACGCAGGTTGGAAACAGCCAATCGAACTTTCAGTATTCGTGCTAACATTTCGTCTGTCACCAGGCAGCCGGGAAGTGATATCTGCCCTCATACCCGTACCAGCACACAAGATCAAAAAGGGGTCACAATCAAATCCTTCCTACGCCCCCTAATCTTCACGACGAACTGTTCTCACAATCCTTTATCACCCCGCACCGCTGATGCAAGCCATTCAGTTTCTTCAAACGTCATTCCTGGTCTCTTGTAACCCCGTTCTAGACTACATGTTGAAGCTTTTAATATACGGACACTGTCAAATAGAGCAACAGGCTTCCTTAGCTAGGACTTGAGAATCTCGTTCAATTGTTGTATGCTGCGTCTCGGAAACGCGCATACAGAATCCTAGTAAAGCCATTCATTTGAAGTCACCATGTCAAGACAAAGAAGCAACTCGTTTTACTCTTCGTGTATCCAGTAGCCCTGATGCTGCTTCCCGGGGTCTCGCTGGTGTAGGTATAGCATTGAGTCGTAGGGCAGAACTAGGGGTCTCCTAGATCGGGTCCCAGTAGATAGTCGCTTGTGCGCTGTCCGACTGAACTGGACAGTAAGGACTCAGAAAGATAGGGACACGCGTCGTTGCCTCGCCGTCGTATCTGCGTATTCCGCCACTGAGTGCAGTTCAGACGAGGTAGATGAGTTTTACAGAAAGATTTCGGACCTCCTCCAAAAGGTTATGCGCTCTCATACAGTAATACTAACTTTGAGCACAAAGATCAACATCTCTTGACATGGTGACCCCCGAAGCTGACCCAATGATGGACCTGACTAAACCACATTGCTATCAGCCATCGATGGAAAACTGTCGCTCATTCTTGAGAATATGTTTAGATTCAGGTCATGCTCTAGTGAGGGCACGCATTTGTTTGCGGCTTACTGGACGTAGCAAAGACTCTGCAAGGAAACCTCTTAGGGTTCTACTTAATGATAACAAAGCTAAGAATTTGTTTCAGGAACAACTAGAAAAACAGTTAGACAGCCATGTAGTAAGTGATGCCCACCCTGAAGCAGCTTGGAACGATATCCAAAAAGCTGTGGAGTCAATAGTGATATCTGCTAGTAAAGTAAACCATAAGGTTAGCGAGAAACAATGGATCTCAATAGCATCTGCCGAACTGATAGATGCTCGGAAACTGATCCTGCCTGACTCTGAATATGACGAAGAGCGGAGTCTGCTTAAGCACAAGCTGAGGAGAAGCCTACTTAATGATCGTGAGAAGTGGTGGGTAGCGAAAGCAAGAGTGATGGAAAAGACAGCGGCGATAGGCAACAGTAGACAACTGTCCCGCCTTTCAGAGGAAACCGGTATTAGAAATCCATTTATCTCAGAAAAGAATGGTCGGAGCATTCATTCTCGACTCAGGAGAATCGCTCGATGGGCAGAAAATTTTAGCGATCAGTTCAACTGGCTTCCAGTCACACATCGGTTACCCACGATCTCCAGTCAACCTGAATGACAGCTGGATGTAAGTACTCCAACCCTTAATGGAGTTGAGAAAGCTATAGGAGATCTGAAGCAAGGGAGAGCAGTGGGTCCTGAAAGATTGGCCAGTGAGATTTTTAAGGTTGGTGGCCCAGTTTTAGCAGTAAGATCGACTGAAATTTTAGGCAAAATCTGGGAACTGGACATAACCCCATCCAACTGGTCTCAATCACTGATTGTCCCAGTCTATTCGAAAGGACAGAAGTCCTCTTGTGACAATCACAGGGAATCAGTCCAACTAATGTAGTGTCTAAAATAAAGGCCTCGATAATATTCCGACACCTAACTAGAGCTCGTAAAATGCAGACCGTAGAAAAGGAGGCTGGTTTCCGAACTGGACGTGGATGTACAGATCAGATTTCACATTACGACAGGTCCTGGCACACAGACACACATTTAGGCGTCCTACAATAGTTGTCTTGCTGGACCTAAAGGCAACATTTGACTCTGTGGATCATGAGGTTCTGTGGCAGTGTCTGTCATTGAAAGGTGTAACGGAGAAGTACATTAGCCGTAAACAAACTTTCTACTCGAACACCACTGGTCGAGTGATAGCGGGTGAAGTAGTTGGACGTGTCGACAGCTTCACTAATCATGGGAGTCTTATCAGTGCTGATGACCTGGTGACTGACGTAATTTCAGCACGGATACAGTCAGTCAGTCAGTCAGATGCAACGTAGAACTTTGTACATAAGTACATCAGTTCATGTTGCCATACCACATCAGCACAGAGAAGTAATCGTCAATTCAAATCCAATAGTAGAAGAGGTAGTAAAGGTATTAGGAGTAATCGCACAGGTTAGAATTAGAAGATATTATTCAAGAAGTATGATTTAATGAGAAAATTTTGGTAAGACAAAACTAGATGTGTTGAAGAATCCAGAAGATTAGCATTTGAGAGAACACAGAGAATAAATGCACCGGCGCCATTGCGAACGATTTTGAGCCATGTCATTCAAGGTCTCTAACCATCGGTAAGTATCATCTCGCGGACCCCAACCAGGTAGTCGACAATTACCGACATGGCTCAGTCCACTAGTCAATGACTTCATGGATTTCTGCCATGTTTTGGTCTGGCCGCCCCTAGCTTTCTTCCAACCTATTCCTACACTACAAAACAAGGCTCGACGAGGCAGTCGGTGGTTAGGCATACGCAACACATGTCCCAACCACCTCAACTGGTGAAGTTTCAATACTTCATCGATTGATCTGCCATTCTTACCTAGCACCCGTTTCCTAATAACAGCGTTGCTCACTCGGGTGTCCCACGATATACGAGCAATGCTTCGAAGACACCTATGATCGAAAACCAATAACCGACGAGTATCTTCTACTCTCATTGGCCATGTTTCACAGCCATAAAGTAAGACGGAGCGAACCACTGCGCAGTACACTCGTCCTTTAGTCAGCAAACGGATATCTCGCCTACGCCATAAGTGACGCAGGTTGGCAAAAGCCATTCGAGCCTTCTGTATCCGTGCTGAGATTTCGTCAGTCACCAGGCCATCGGCACTGATGAGACTACCAAGATAAGTGAAGCGGTCTACACGTTCGACTACTTCACTCCCTATCACTAGTTCAGGTGCCGAAGCAACCCAGTCTTGAAGCAACATTTTGCATTTCGAGGGGGAAAACCGCATCCCGAACATGCTTGCATTGTTGCTTAGGGTAGTCAGAAGACTCTGCATTTCGTCAGCGTCTTCACCAAGTAGGACTATGTCATCGGCATATTCTAAGTCAATAAGCGAGCCACCTGGTAGAAGGTCTACTCCTGAAAATTCAGACGAGGATAATGTTATGTCTAGGAGCATGTCTATGATAAAATTAAACAAGAATGGAGAAAGTGGACAACCCTGACGGACACCACTTGAAGTAGAGAATTCCGGTGACAGTTCGCCATAAGCTCTCACTCGACCAGTGGTGTTCGAGTAAAGAGCTTGTATAAGGTTAATGTACTTCTTTGGTACACCTTTCAATGACAGACACTGCCACAGAACCTCACGATCCACTGAGTCGAATGCCGCCTTAAGATCCAGGAAAACAACTATTGTAGGACGCCTAAATGTGTGTCTATGTTCCAGGACCTGTCTGAGTGTGAAAACGTGGTCTATACAACCACGTCCAGGTCGAAAACCAGCCTGGTTTTCTCGAGTCTGCTCTTCACGAGCTTTCGTTAAGCGTCGAAGTATTATTGAGGCCAGTATTTTAGATACTATATTAGTTAGACTTATTCCCCTGTGATTGTCACAAGAAGACTTTTGTCCTTTCTTATAAATTGGGACAATCAAGGATTGAGACCAGTCGGATGGGATTGTGTCCAGTTCCCAGATTCTACCTAAGATCTCAGTCAACCTAGCTGTTAAAACTGGACCACCATCCTTAAATATCTCAGGGGTCAGTCTATCAGGACCTGCAGCTCGTCCTCGTTTCAGATTTCCTAACGCTTTCTCAACTTCATTAAGACTGGGGGGACTTACGTCGATTTGCCATTCAGGATGACTGGAGATCGTGGGTAACCGAAGAGTGGCTCGTGGCCAGTTGAACTGATCCCTAAAGTGTTCTGCCCATCGACCCAGTCTCCTGCATTGAGAATGGATAATAAGACCATCCTTTTCTGAAATAGTTTCACTCACAGTTGGGTTCCTAATACCAGTTTCCTTGATGAGTCTAAATAGTTGCCTACTGTTGCCTATCGCCGCTGCCTTTTCCATCTCTCTCGCTTTCGCCACCCACCACTGTTCACGGTCGTTACGTAGGCTTTTTATAAGTCTGCGCCTAAGTTGACTACGCTCTTCATCATGTTCAGAGTCAGGTGGGATGAGTTTTCGGGCATCCATCAGATCGGTGGATGCTACTGAGATCCACGGCTTCATTCTAGCCTTATGGTCAACCTTGCTAGCAGATATCACTGCTGTTTCCACAGCCTTTTTGATATCATTCCATCCTGCTTCTGGATGGGAATCGCTTGCATGGTTGCTTAACTTTCTCTCTAGTTGCTCCTGAAATATTTTCTTGGTTTGATTATCATTAAGTAAAACCCTAAGAGGCTTTCTTACGGTGTCTTTCCTACGTCCAGTAAGCCTTAAGCAGATACGAGCTCGTACTAGAGCATGATCTGAATCCAAACATGTGCCCCAGAACGAGCGACAGTCTTCTATCGAACCCCTCCATCGGTGGCTGATGGCGATGTGATCTAGTTGAGTCCAACGTTGAGACGACTTTGGAGGTCGCCAGGTCAACAGATGCTTTTCCTTATGCCTAAAGTTGGTGTTCGCTAAGAATAGGCGGTTGTCTGAGCATAGTTGCAACAGACGGTCGCCATTGTCTGTTCTCTCAGTCGCTACACCATAACATCCACCAAGATGTCTTTCCTTTTCACCTAGTCTACCTACTTGAGCGTTGAAGTCACCAGCCATTATTACTATATCAGAGCGCCTAGCTTTTTGGAGGAGGTCCGAAAGCTTTCTGTAAAATTCATCTTTAACCTCATGTGCACTGCAGTCAGTGGGGGCATAGGCAGATATGACGAAGAGGCAACGGCGAGTGTCCCTATCCTTACGAGTCCTTACTGTCCCGTTTAGTCGGACAGCGCACAAACGACTATCTACTGGGATCCAGTCTAGGAGAGATAATTCTGCCCTAGGACTCAACGCTATGCCTACGCCAGCAAGACCCCTGGAAGCAGCATCAGGGCTACCGGATACACGAAGAGTGAATCGAGCTGCTTCTTCATTTTGACAAGGTGGAATCAGGTTAATGACTTTACTAGGATCCTGTATGCGCGTTTCCGAGACGCAGCATACATCGATGGCACGAGATTCTAAAGTCCTAGCTAATGATGCCTGTTGCCCTATTTGACACAATGTCCGAACATTAAAAGCTCCAACATGTAGTCTAGAACGAGGTTTCAAGAGACCAGGAACGACGTTTCGTGATCTCGCTTCGTTTGCATTAGCGGTGCAGTGAGAAAAGGGAGTGTGAGTAGAGTTAGTCGTAGAAATAAGAGAGACATTAGAGGGTGTAGGAAGGATTTGATTTTGACCAATTTGGTCTCGCGTGCTGTTACGGGTATGAGGGCGGTTGTCACTTCCCGGCTGCCCACACCGTGGAAGGTTGTTTCTTGAGGGACCTGAAAAGGAAGATGGATTAGTGTTGGTGCGTGACCGCAGAGCCCAAGGGACAACTGCTTCAGGCCGGTCACGCACGGCCTTTTTATGTAAGGTATTTATAGGATTAGCTCCGTTCTTAAAGGCCCTTAGTGGGCACCCTTACCCAGGGAGACGGAAATCCGTGAGTTAGGGGGAGTGTGACATTTTTAGGGCCGACCTTTTCTAACCCTTCCTTCCTTGTGAGAAGGCAGCATCGCTGCAGATGCTGGTTGTCCGAGGGAAACACCTTACTGCTGTCACACCCCTCTGCAGTCAGCAGTACGACTTCGCCCTCAGACCTTGGGTAGCTGCTTTTAGTCTCATCGTTCTCCAATCGACCAGCCTGGCATGGTAGGACCTGCAGGAACATATGTTCCAGCCAGTATAGCTCGGTTGGGTCATCACGATAGGCAAGCCCGACCACCACGTCAAGGTAGCAGCTTCGGTCGGGCACGGATACAGAAGGTTCGATTGGCTTTTGCCAACATGCGTCACTTTTGATGAAGTCGAGTTATCCATTTGCTGACCAAAGGACGAGTGTACTGCTCAGTAGTTCGCTTCGTCCTACTATATGGCTGTGAAACATGGCCAGTCAGAGTAATGTTCGTAGGTTACTGGTTTCCAAGCATAATTATCTTCGAAGCATTACTCGTGTATTATGGTACAACCTAGTAAGCAATGCTGTTCTTAGGAAACGGGTCCTAGGTAAAGATGTTAGGTCAGTAGATGAAGTATTGAAACTGCACCATTTGAGGTGGTTGGGACTTGTGTTACGTATGCCTAACCACCGATTGCCTCATCGAACTGTTTTGCGATGTAGGAATAGGTTGAAAAGAAGCTAGGGGCGGCCAAACCAGAACATGGCAGAAATCCATGAAGTCACTGACAAGTGAACTGAGTCATGTTGGTAGATGTTGGCTATCTGGTTGGGGTCCTCGAGACGATATTAACCGACGGTTAGAGACTGAATGACATGGCTCAGAATCTTCCTCAATTGCACAGGTGCATTCATCCATTGTGTTCTCTCAAATCCTAACCTATATAGTGCGCCATATCGTAAGTATTTTTATTGAAACATTTGAACTGATGAATGTGCGGAGATTTAGAGAATTCAGCCAGCCTACTATTGTTTCAAACTGTAATGATAGGACAAATGTAAAATTTAACTTCTCCATTTTGCGTTCAATAACTTTGGGCAGGCGAAATTATAACAGTAGTATTTTGCTGAAAATTCACTTCATACAACACTAAACCGTTGTCAGGAACGTTCAAAACATAGGTGACCAGTGGATATTATACTAGACGTAGAAATTATATTTGTCAAGTATTAGGACATTAGAGACTTTGTTGAAGACACCATATAGAATTCTTGAAAAACAGTTATGTTACATACGTTTTAGCACATGATAAAAAGGATTTAATGAAATCCATGAGATTGAAGATTATACTAATTTATTGTTGAAAAACCTTTTTATTTTAGCGTAATTAGTTTGTTGAGTTTGTCTAAACTAAACTTAGATCTTCGTAACTATTTAGCTGAGAAGTCCATAACGCTAGTAGTTACTCAGTTATATATGATATTTTCTAAAATTAGAAAGAATTCAAAAATTTAGAGAACTCGTACTACGTATTATACATCTAAATTAAGAAAAAATGAAAATAGTCCTCAAGATATTAGAAATAAATGTTTCGCCAAAATCGAGTAATTGTGTTGCACAAATGTACACACAGTGAATAACTATCGGTCATTTTTAATACTAGTATCCGTCACGTTAGGAAGAAGTCCTGTATCCACTGCAGGCAATGTATATTCTAACTTTGACCATAGCTTCGGTTTCCCAATATCAGACGAGCAAGGTACTTGACCGTATACTTCACATATACATTGACGCGGAAACCTACAGTTGAATACAAAATAATTATATACTTTTGGATGAACATTACTCAGTCCCAAAGCTCGATGGGTTCTTTGTAGTTAAGTTATTCACTAAGGAACTCTCAGATGGGGCAGCCTTCCCAAGAAGTGCGTGCAGGTGATCGTAGATATCAGAATTCTTTCGAAAAGCGCAATTTAGCACTTGTTCCTCATTCTTTTCAAGGTAAATCTTAATAAATGGTGTTGGAAACATATTTTTGAACGTAATTATCTGGTGAGTGGGTTAAGGATGGGAAATAAACTATTACCTGAACGTTTGGATTTCTGAATTGTAAAGGAGGTAAATACCATTTAATGAACTCATCACATCCATGTGATATTTCTGCTCCAGGAATATGATTGATGACAATGATCTTGACACCATCGTTCAGAAGTATTCGTCCGGCTTCTAAATACTTCTTAGTTCTTGTCACCGCAGCACGTCCACCCTTTAGGAACGGCATTCTTCAGTATTTATGATCTAATTTTTCATAGTTCACAACACAAAGGCAAATGCATGTTTTGAATGATTCTATAGTATGATAAAAGTGAATCCATATGATGAGGTTTTAAATCGCTAATTTATATTTTTCAGGTTTGTAACTTAAGGCTTACTGGCTGTCAGTCGATATAAATCACATGGTACAGCTTTGGGGGTCGACAAGTCAAAAGGTCTTTTACCTTATGCTCAAAGTTAGTGTTGGCTAGGAATAGGCGATTATTTGAGCATAGCTGCAGCAGGCGGCTGCCATTATCTGTTCTATTAGCCGCGACACCATACGATCCACCCAGGTGTCTTTCCTTTTCATCAGAGCGCTCAACGTTCTGGAGAAGTTTGGCGAGGTTCCTATAAAACTTATTTTTCACGTCGTCTGAACCGCAGTCAGTAGTAGTGTAGGCAGATACGACGAAGAGGCAACGGCGAGTGTCCCTATCTATCTGAGTCCGTACCATCCCGTTTAGTCGGACAGCGAATAAGCGACTGTCTGTCGGGATCCAGTCTCAGTGAGCTAGTTCTGCCCTACGACTTAATACTATACTTACGCCAGCGAGGCCACGAGAAGCGGCGACAAGGTTTCCAGAAACACGACGGGTAGACCTTGTGTCTCTGTCTGTACTAGGTGAGGTCAAATTGGTGATTTTACTCGGATCTTGTATGCGCGTTTCCGAGACGCAACATACACCAATCGCCTGGGATTCCCAGAGTTCTAGCTAATGAAGCCTGTCGACCTATTTGATAACAGTTATAAAGAGGTATAGAAAGGATTTGAATGTGACCAATTTGGTCTCGTGTGCTTATATGGGTATGAGGGCGGATGTAACTTCCCGGCTTCCAACACCGATATCTCGCCTACCTTTATTATATCAGGTTTTCATATAAATTCTAATTATTCTTGAGATTATTCACCTCAACATTCCATTAGGATGTGTTGAAACTTGTAAACACCGTAGCTGCCCACTTTCAATCGTGTGCATGTTTCAACCTGAGTATTTCAGTGTCCTTATAAGCCACGTGACCATGCAGTATTATCGTGAGATTTAAACTTTTAATTCTTTAGATGTAAGTGTTAACGCTGACACAAATCATTCTGAACTATTTCTTTATAGTTTAGCATGTTAAAAGAAATTCAGTGAGTGAAGTGTTATAGTAATAATGCCAACTACAACGCTCAAAGTCTAATAGCGGGAAGCCTAACAGAGCTGTGATAGTAGTCATTGTGTAGTACGTTTTCCTAATGAGATTTAAGATGCCAAGTCTTGGAACTTGGCGCGAAATCGATGCATCCGTGTGGCTAAATAGCCTTATAGCTGATGCCAGTACGTGATCCTGACCTCTTTGGCTTTGGATGCTAACCATCATTCCTCACACTAATTTAAAATCCTCTTTTAACCGTAATAAGCAGGTAAATTCATAACCAGTGGTTAAAGACTGAATGACATGGCTCAGGTGCATCCATTCCTAGTGTCCTCTCAAATTCTAATCTTCTAAATCACGCACAACCGTTCTTTCCCTTTGAGAATTCATTTTACTGGGTATACTTATCGAATCACCTTTAATCCCTACTCTTTTCTATTGCCGCTGATACAGTTACAACCTCTAATAGAGTGGGATTCGAATTGACGATTCCATTTCTCTTTTCTAATATGGTATGACAATTTGAGCTGATGTACGAATGTACTGCGTTCGTACCTCAGCAAATCGACTGACTGGGTGTTATTTACACCAAACGGCTTCTTTCTTCCCGAATAGTCGATATCGGTGTCATAATAAGCGTTTCGACTTATTTCCTCCAAAACTCGAACTTACATTCGGTTTCTTATTAAATCGTGTTTCTAACATAACCGAAACCACGCGTCATCATTTTATTTAAATTGTGCGAGTCGATGACAAACGCCTTATATTTGGAAAACCTTTCTCTTACATGTTCTGAGGATATCACAAAACTTCCCCATGTTTAGATAGACAGAGATGGACGAATCCTGAGCCCTCAGGTATACAAAAATTCCGGAGAAATTAACGTTACCTGATAGATAGGAATGACTTATTCACATATGTACCGACATTCACGTGAGATACTCAGTGAACATGAGATAGCGCGATATTTGAATTTGGCTCCGCACTACTCACAATAGCTTGTCCCGCAATCCCATTATGCCTATATTTTACCAATACAACCTTAACGGTCTCGTAGATAAGATACTGGAGAAAATAATCAAAAAACCTACAACGATCTGTGAAAACCACCAACTTTGCAAACAACGAACGACAAGGCTTTGTGAAAGGATTATATCGTACAAAAAATTCCCTTATAGCGAAACAGAGATAAACAGAGTCACTCGATGATGAAAAATTAGAAATATTGTCTATGCAGACTTTAGCAAAGCATTTGAAAAGGTGCCGAACAGTAGATTTCTCTTGACGCTGGAAGTCTAGGAATTACCAGACTTCTCTTAAAGGGAATCAAAGATTGCTTGGTAAATAAAAATAAGCTACAGATGCTACTCACATAAACCACTACATAGCGAAGTAGCGCAAGGATCTACCATAAGTCCTTTACTTTTTATGAGACAAACGAATGAACTCCTGAATGTCTTTATGTGTCCGGTGCTACTTCGAACCGATGATGTAAAACTTTTTCCGGAAATAACTGGAGACGCAGATGTCCGTGTACTTCAAGCTGACTTAGAAGTTTTGGCTACCTCCTCTAAATATGGCTGGTGTCTGTCGATGCGATCAAGTGTGTCTACATGCATATTTTAGGTACAAAGGCAGGTGGCTACAGCACTGATGAAAAGTAGTTGTCCATAGTCCTGTCTCACAGTGATTTAGAGGTAACAGTGAGCCACGTTCCTAAGACCACCGCCCACTACCGTGTCGTTGCAGCTAAGCGGTTTAAAACCCTATGGTTTTTGAAAAGGACTTTTGCCAAGTTGAATACTAGTTTGTCCACTACAGTACATACAACCTCAGTGAGATACGAACTTGAAGACTGCTGTCAGAATCTTCCAAATATGACTTGAATGTCTTAGAAAATACACAGATGAAAGCTATCCATCCAACACCAGAATCCCGAGGCTTACCATATACATAGAGTCTTCAGATGATCAACGTGTTTCCTATGTCTTACCTCAGATTGAGAGTTGGTCTTATTTTGACGCATATATGCATGATTTCTTGGAAAGAGGTGATTTCGGACCTAACGTATCCTCCGATTGTTCTTACCAAATCAGAAAAACCTAAAGGATATAACTGTTACGGGAGAACTGAAGACATTTGGCTGATTAAAATCTTTATATAAATATCAATAATTTCACTGTTTTTTGGGTACATTTGTTTTACTTAACTTATGAACTTGTTTGATTTATTATTTTCGGACATTTTCGTTTCTGTTTGTCTTGGTTTAGTAATTGGGTGTTTTTGCTTCAGGAACCTATAAAATTTAAGGTATTTGTAGTTATTATAATTATTGTTGTTAGAACGACATTCTGGTCGACTATTTGTGAATTACGAATAAACTTTGGTACCTAACTTTGGAGTTTGGTTCTGTTGTTAATTTGGGTTCATGAATTGCGAATAGATCGACATACTGTACTTCAATAACGGGAAGGAGCATAACTTGGACGTATCAAAAGTTCTTCAATTTTTTCTGTTGTCAAACATCGGATACGTCTGGACATTTTGGGTCCAATTTTCGGTATTACTGGTCGAATTCGTTTGGATTAATTCACATTCGCTTGGTAACCGATTTTCGAACAAAGGCATACAATGGAAACCAGAAGCAAAACGCCGAAGAACAATGACGAAATGGATGGTAAAGATTCTAAAGCTGTCTGTGGTATGTCTGGTTTTAATGATGATAGACGTGACGATATTAGTGTTAATAGTAAGTCCTCAGCTCAGTTTAGTACTTCTAAATTGAGGTTAGATAAGGCATTACTAAAGAAGAAGAATTTAGAAAGGAGACTTGAGTTAGAAAGGCAGCTTAAAATGTTAGATTTTGAAGAGGAGGTTGATATGGCCGAATTAGAATGTAAGGTCATGGAAAACGATAACCGACTGTCAGTAGACAAATCTCAGATAAATGCTAAGGTGGAAGGGTACTTGAATTGTGACAGTGCGCGTAATAAGCATTCCGTGGAGGTATTTGACACCTCAACATGCGATTGTATTGATGAATTAAAGGATACATTACGTACTACGGTTAGTAATACGGTTTTGCCTAAGATCGATATGATGTTTTTTGACGGACAACCAAGCCAGTACCACCGTTTTATTAGTCAGTTTACAAGCATTGTAGAGAGTAAACTGTCTGGCAAGTGCCAGTTGTTGTCATATTTGTCATACTATTGTAAAGGAAAGGCCAGAACGGCTATTGAAGTTTGTATTTCCTTGCCCAGTCACTCGGGTTACGATAGAGCTAAACAAATTTTGTATGATCTATTTGGTAAAGAACATCTTGTCGCCCGTAATCTTATTACCGAATTACTTAGCCACAAATCTGTTGAAGGATCCACCGATGGCCTAAAAGACTTCGCAATTAAGCTAAGTAATGTTTGCATAACATTGAAGGAAATGGGGTCTATGTCTGATGTGAATTCTACAGCTAATCTGGAAATAATTGTGTCACGTTTACCCCTAGAATTACAGAATAAATGGGTGGAAGCTGCTGATAGGATCATGATGACCGGTAGGGAGCCGATCTTTGAATAATTAGTGATGTTTGTAGAAGAAAGAGCAAGGATTGCGCGATCACGTTCTGGTAGATTGGTACACTGTAACTCAAAGTTCCATAAAAGTAATTATGAAGGCCAAGTTGACAGGAGATCATGCTTTAATGTAGTTAAGCGGGAACCAAGCAACTCATTCAAGGCTTTAAGTTGCGAAATTTGTTTTGGTGATCACAATGAGAAAGATTGTATGAAGTTATCAAAAATGAATTTTACAGGGAGGAAAAACAGGAAG